CGTAATAAGTTAAAAGCTCAATGTCACTAAAAAAAAAAAGTATTCTACAGCGAGTTTACTAATGAAGCCTGTTACGAAATCCGAGAGAGTTAAACGCAATTATTATTGTATTTAAATAATAAATCGGCAGCGCAGTACCGACTGCGACTGTTTATGATTATTTAACGTCAGGATTATTGTACAATAATTATACCGATCGTTATTGTGCTCTTGTGACAAGAGTAATGAGCTTGGAGCGTGTGTCTGACAGTGGTAACGGAAGCTATATATAGGATATATCGAATATATGCAGTTGGCGGTCTGCGAATAAGGGATGAGAAATAACACGCGAATGGTAGTCTGTATTTGGAGAATTTATCGTCGAGCCGTCCTCGATGAGCATTATCCAGGATCCCCAACGCTGTCACCACTGTTTCCATTATCGGTGACATTATGGGCCTTCTCCGGGGATAGTATCGCTGACACCTCACAACTCCGGCCTCCTATGTACGCTTCGTACGTGAATTTCCAAGGGAAGCTTGGGAGCAACCCGTCTGATCCAATATCGTCGCGCTCAAAGGGAAAGCCATTGTCCTGAAGCCGAACAACGGTGACAGCAGGATCGCGGGCAGAGCTGATCGAGCACAACAAAGGGAGGATCTTGGTAATTCTGGACCAGTTGTGGACTAGAGACCACAAGCCGCTGGATCCAGAGGCAGAGGCAGAGCTCAAGCTGAAGCTACTCAGAAGAGGATTCACCAAAAGCTCTCTTTGCTTTCTGACCAACAAATCCCGGCTGGCAGTTTGCTTTTTCATTTCTTAAACTTTTCTTGCTAAGCGTGACAGTATTGTAAGGAGACTTTGCGATTCACTTTGGACTTTGGAAACTCCAGATCTTAGAGCTGTCCAGCGAAACCGAGGATGTTAGACGTCGATCCTATAATGTATTCCGAAAGTCTTTTTAAATCTGTACAGCCATCCAAGTTTTCTTTACAGTCCAGCTACAGAATTGGAACCAACAATTGAGGAAGACGTGGGTTGAGTTTTCATAAAGAATACCCAAACTCTCTTCACTGTATTTGTTTGAGTGTAGGTGGGTTTTTATAAGGGTTGCGGATAATAGATAGAAGAAATAATTAAGCTGTTTTTTTCTTTTTATTTTGTGGTTAGAAAAGACAATTCAAAGCTTTTTATTCTATAAAAATTCAATCTTTAGTTTGAAATTTTTAATTGATAAAAAAAAATTTTTTTAGTGAAATTTAGTGTCATTGCAAAGGTCTTGACTTGAATTAGTACCTTTTCAAAGTTTCATTTCATTTTTAACAATAGTCAACTTATTATAATAAGTATTTAGGCTGCATTGAAAAATTGCTGTATCTCTAGATGCATAATTAAAAAATGATCTTGTATCTTGTGAACTGTTGACATTTTTAAAAATATAAGCTCATCCTGATGTTACACTCATCAAAACCTTTCATTTGAGTACCCACATTAATTTTTCATATATTTATATATATTATATATATGTAGATATTTTATTTTATTTTATTTTTATTTTATTTTCTTTATATACATCTCAACAGCCTGATGGCCAATAACAGAGATACAAAAAGATACAATTGTTATTCTGAATGGCGCATGATAGCTAACAATCTTTAATATTACATGTATTTTATTAATATTATTATTTAAGAAACCCAAAAATTATAATTATAATTATACTTAGACTTACTCATTTTATACAAGGTTTACACTATATTTCATATATTATAATTATGAAAAATATATCAAAAATTCATGTGGGTACTCAAATGAAAGCTCTTGATGAGTGTAACATCGGGATGAGCTTATATCCTCAAAAATGTCAATAATTAAGAACTGACTTTGCTATCTTGTCAACTAATGATATTTTGAAAGATATAAGCTCATCCTAATGTTACACTCATCGAGACCTTTTATTTGAGTACCCACATCAATTTTTCATATATTTATATATATTATATATATGTATATATGAAAAATATATGAAAATGCATGTGGGTACTCAAATGAAAGCTCTTGATAAATGTAACATCAGGGTGAGCTTATATTTTTAAAAACGTCAATAGTTAAAAAAGTACAGTGTAATTTAACAAAAATAATTATTTAATAAAGCAAAATTTTATTTATTTATATTTCACAAGTCCCGGAAGTCACATAGTTGCTAGCATTGTATTAAAAAAAATAATTGAATTAAAATTTATTTTTAAAATTTAAAAAATCATTTTAATATTTCTAATCCCGTAAAAAGTATTAAAAAATTAAATTTCAAATCCTTACTGCCGCATCAACAATGAATAAAAAAATAAAGTTTATAATTTTTGCTTACAAATTAAAGAATTAAAAAATTTTCATTGGCGTGTATATGAATAGAAAGAAATTTGGGGCGAAAAGAGGAAGGAAGAAAAAAAAATAGTTGGAAGTAGAAATGAAATAAAACGGTTAAGAAAAAAGCGGCAGTGAGACTGGCAGCGAGCAGTTAATTCAACTCCGGGTCACGAAATCCTGGAACGTTGAGTCATTGTTCAAAGACGAGAAGTCGCCGTAAAAAACCAATGAACAACGAAAGACGGAGAAGGAATAGCTTGAAATAGGTGTTGTTTTCTCTCGGAGAGAAGCAACCCCGTCCGGCACCAGCAGAAACATTCCCCGTCCAGGACTTTGATCACTCCCTCTCTCTCTCTCTCTCTCTCTCTCTCTCTTCTTTTATTTTCGAAATTTAATAAGTAAATCCTCCTCTCTCTCTCTCTCTCTCTCTCTCTCTCTTTCTACACATCACGTGTAGCGCCGGAATCCAATTTTCTCAGCAGTTAGTAGTTACCCGTAATTAGTGTGTCCCGCTTAGCTCTACAATTGACAAGCGTCTGGTATACACAAGTACAAATTTTCATCCACCCCGAGTTAATGGAGCTTCATTAAATTGTTATTACAGTCTAACGAGAACCCTCCCGGACAATTGAAACTCTCTTTTGTTGGACTCGCCTCTATCACATGCTTCTGCTTCTATTTTCTATCCAGTCTATACATATAGATAAAGGCGAGTTCCTGTCTCTAATAACTCCTGTGTTCATGTTCATGTTCGTGTTCACACCCCCGCTGTTGATTGTTACCGGCTACTTAAATTCCGTCTGTGCTATCGTGTTTGGGCAGCTAGCTCTAATTTTTTTTCACATTCGGGCTGATTCGCTTTTTATCGGAAAGTTTTGATATGAGTTTTGTTTTGTCATCAACTGGCGCGACTACGAGGACAGGAAACAAAGAGCACGTGGTATAGACACATAACACACAACATCGATCCGATAAATATATCTACTCGTATATAGATACTATACTCATCGTATGTAGTATGTGGTATGAAGTACATAGCATGTTTCGTACTCTATATCCAATGGAATATGGTGAAAATTCATATATAAATAAATATATGTATTGATCGGTGTTAGTAGAGGCCGGCCGTCCAATGCACTTTCAATTATCCACATGACGACCCTTCAAACTCATCACTTCTCTTCGACAGTTGATTTAAACCCTTTTAAATTCACAAGCTAATGCGGTAATAATGGTCAGCTCCAGTTAACCACAGTTCTATTGCCATTTAATAAAACCTGTCGGGTTAATATCTGTTGGAAAAATCGCGGCTTGTGGAAAAGTTTTAGTTTTATTTGTAGGTAAAAGAAATTTAATGTAACTTTTTTTTTAGTTACTCATATATGAATTTATTGGTGAAAAGTTTTGGTAATTGTATAAAAGTCGAGTTTTTTGATTTTTTTATTTTTAAAAAATTGAATTATTTAATTATTAACTAATTTTTTAGTTATTTTATTCTTCTAAAACCTGATTTTAGAATTATTCATTAATAATTTAGAAAATTCGATTTTTATATTTTAAAATAAATAATTTTTTTCTTTATTTATTCATCAAAATTTTTTTATCATTTATAAATTATTAATTAAATTGAAATTTTCAAATTTATAAAAAATATTTTCATCAATACATCATAATTTTGTTTTTTTTTTTTTTTAATCCACAATTTAAAAAAAGTTAATGAATTACATTAAAATTGTTGTTCAAAAGTTAAAATTTTATATTGAAGACTTTTTAAATTACCAAAATATTAAATAAGAGCAGTAAAAATTTGTAAATTTTTAGAATTTAAAAACAAATTTTTTGGCAAATTTAATTAATCTTTTTTATCAGAAAATTTACAAAGAAAAAAAGAAGAAATATCTTATTAAATTCAATTCTTCATCGCCAAAAATAGACAAACTATTTCTCTACAATTTCTAATTAATACAATACAACATTCGTCTTAATTAAGCACATATCATAATAGTAATATCCATCCATCAATTGAATGTAGGTCGAGATTAATTAAATGATGAATAAATCTTGTCTTGAAAGTTAAGAATAAGCCTCTTGCTTTGAAAAATGCATTATATCTCTAAAATGTGACTCTTAATACGGATTATTCAGTATTTCACCAAAGACTTGCTTCGGTTTTAACCCCGAAGCAGCGGATGAAGGATGAAGAAGCGACTGTGAATCCCAGGCAATTCAGTTATTATAGAATCAACGAGGCGAACACAAAAAAGGAACTAAACATTATCGGAAAGTATTCAAGTTCATAAAACGAGGACTCTTTTCTATTCAACTGCAATAAAAAAATTTATTTTTTTACAATTTAATATCTTTTGTTGGAATTTATCGTACAAAAAAGCAACACTCAAATCGATGTTAAGCTCACCTAATTGAATAATCAAGAGCTTCGATTCGTTCTTGAGGTCATACAACAGTAAAAGAATTATTTAAATTTCCCAAAAGCTAACTTAAATTTTAACGTTGATATTTATTAAATATTTAAAATAAAGTTTCAAGAAGCCCACGTAAAATCTCTGTGAGCCTCTTTCGGTAAGGTAGGAATTAAATTGACCATTTGAGAATAAATTGTTTATTAAAAAATAATTTATTTATAATAATTAAAATTAAAATTTTCCTTTTTTCTTGCTTGGCTTTTCCTTATTTTTAATTTTTTCAATAAGCGGCTTGTACTTTTCCTGCAAAGCGACGACAATATCAGGAGCGCGTTTCATCAATTCCTCCTTGGAGGTTTTGCAGCCGTCCAGGAGCCAGGAGTCTTTGAGAGCGTTTATGGTGTGAGCAATCAGAACAGGATAAGTGACATGAGGCTTGAGATCATGACCGTTGACCGGGAACTTGGGCGGGTTCCACTCTTCAAAGGGTTTGAGGAGCTCAAAGTTTCCTAGATACTTAATGACTTCCTTGATGTACTCCTTGGTGACCATCGGCTTGTTGGATTTAAGCAGCTGGCATTGAAAGGGATAGAGAGGATAGGGCAAGAGCTCATCATCGCGGTGCGTGGTTACGAAGACAGCCAGGTCTCTCTGGTAAGCGGAGAGCTTCAATCTTTCGTGGAGGTTCATTGCGTCATCCGGATTCTTCAACATCGCGGCGATCATGGTGATAGGATGGAGCTTGTGTCCAGCAGCGTGGGCTCTCTCGCAGATCTTCTTGAAGTTCTCCAAGTTAGAGTGCTCCGGCAAGCCAATATACTGAGCTATATTGCACTGTAGCATCTTGAGCATGAGCTCAACCGCGAAGTTTCCTTCCAAGATCTTGCTCCACTCCATCCAGATCCTTTCGCCAGAAATCCTCTCCAAGCCTTCGACATTTTCCACGATTGCTTTGATAGTAGCTTCGTCGTGGTTGCTCGGGTTTTCAGCGATTCTGCCGTAGAACCTGAAGTACCTGAGAATCCTGAGAAAGTCTTCCTGGATCCTGGTAGCTGGGTCTCCAACAAAAGCGACCCTTCTGTTCTTGAGGTCCTCGTAGCCGAAGAAAAAGTCGAACACTCGCCCGTCCAAGTCTAGGTACATCGAGTTTATGGTCAGGTCGCGGCGACTCGCGTCCAGCTTCCAGTCGGTGGTGAACTCGATGTCCGCATGCCGGCCGTCGGTAACCACGTCGATTCTTAAGGTGGTGATTTCAAAGTTTTCCGCGTCGTTTATTCGAGCTGTTATGGTCCCGTGCTTTTCACCTTTGGTGTTCAGCATTCTGATACCCTCGAAGGTGAACAGCTGCTTCATCTCGTCTGGAGTTGCAGTGCTTGCGAAGTCCAGGTCCTTGGGAGTTATTCCCATTAGGATGTCTCGGACTGCTCCGCCCGCGATTCTGATTTCATGGTTGTGTTTTTTGAATAGGGAGACTAGGGTTTCTAATTCTGGGGAAAATATTGAACGGAACTCGGGAGAGTCTAGCTTGGTTATCACCGGGTCTGCTCTAGAGGCTGGCATTGCTGCGTCTGTGTATTGTTTTACTCGTTTCCACTTTACGGAGTCTGATGCGGCTTTTGATAGGTTCTGAAATTTCAAGTGGTGTTAATTCGCATTGATTAACAGACATCTCTCAATTTTTTTGGATATTTATAAGAAATAAATTGTAATATAACAAATAAATTAATTATATGATACTAAACTTAGCCGACATTTAATAATTTTTGATTTTTTTTTTTTATATTAATTAAATTAAAACTAAAGAAATATTTTTAAAAAATTGCGCGGATAATTTTAAAAATTTTCTACATGTGTAATTTTTTTTTAAATGTCAATATCTTGAGATCAAAATTTTAAGTACATAGCTAATTTAACTTTCTTATAGTTAATCATAAAAAATTACAAGTGCAAATTATTAAGGTAGTACTACCGTTACCACAAGTGTCAAATCCCAAAACCTAATCTTATTTGATTAACGTAGTAGATTTCCCTATACTAAATTACGTTGGAAAAAGAGAGACAGAGATAAATTTTGAATGTTTTTTATTAATAAATATTCTCACATTCTTGGAAACCATACTGATTGTTACTAAATATGTTCTAGATGTTATTTCCTCTCGTTGTGTTGATTTTTATAAGAATCTCAACGTCGAGTTTTGTGAAATAAAATAAAGTCTATGATTCTCCATAAGGATCAATGGTAAAAGCAAAAATATGTAGATATTAATATCTTTTTTTCAGGACTTGCTCGGCTTCCAAAAATTTTACTGCTTAATTATGATATTATAAAGTGCCAATATGCCAAATTTCATTAAATTCTGAACGTCAAATCTAAAACCGGTAGTACTACTTTAAAAAGTAATTTTTTTTTAATTTGTAATTAAATTGTAATAAAAATGAAATAAATTGTCACATGTCTGCTAATTTTAGTATCATAAATTTATAAATTAAAAAAAAATAACCTAACTTAGATAATTAACATTGTTTTAATTTTTGACAACAAGTTATTTAATAAATTATAAAAACTATTTATAAAAATAAAAAAAAAATAAATTTTATATTTGTTTACTCTTATATTTTTTATAATACTCAAGAAATTAAAAAAAAAAAATAGATGCTTACTGTCAATATTGTATATTTATATATAGAGGTTAAATATTATTAATTTGAATACTTACTCGGTACGGAACATAACTTAATACTGTTTTTACTTGTTTTAGTAACAGTGAGAGTACTGTCATCACTAATATTTTTTTTACATTGACATTATTTATTTTACAAATAAATCACCACGGGTTATCTACGTTTTGTTTATCGCTGTTTATTTTTCTTTTTCTTTCTGGAAAGTTAGAATTTTCATTGAGCGACGATTGTTAAGTGAGAGAGTTACTCACTGCACTGCAGTAAATGAAGAAATTTTGTTGAGTGAAAAGGTAGTTTGCTTTGTTGCCGGCAGTCAACAGACAGATGTCACTAGCTACTAAGTTCTTATTAAAGTATATAAATTAATAGTATATTCATGAGCAATTCTTAGATGTAAAAATAAAAATTTATTTAGTAAACTTTCAGTAATTGAAACGTGCCACGTGGCACATATTTTACAACCTCAAATCGTGACATAATTTTAAAATTAACTAATCATTTGATTAACTTCTTATCATTTTATCATTTAGTAACTTCTTATTTCAGTAGTACTCCAATAGATGGCGGCAAGTTATCTAAATTGAATTTAAAAATTTTTATCCTGTACATGATTGATAAATAAATACCAAAAATATCGCAAGAAAAATGATCTAATTTATTCAATTATTAATCCTAAAAATTTTAATTAAAAATTGGAAAAAAAAAAAGAAGATACGTCCACAGTTTACAGTAATTGAATGACGAGATAATTAGCGGATAAATATGCTAATTGTTGGGAAATTACCCGTAAATTTTCAGCAAACAAATATTATTTGAAGAATAAATATAACGATTAATTAATATTTTTCAGAAACGGGAGTGCTAGCTCGTGCCCAGTAGATAGCGGTACCCAGTTGGGTAAAATAAAAAATATCACTGATGGTGATGGAGTAAATAAATAAATAAACAAAATTAAACAATAAAGGAGAATAAATAGAATAATAATAATAATAATAATGTTAATAGCCAGATACTGTTTTTTCACCCAATATTTAAAAAATATAATATTTACTTTCGGAAATGATGACAAATTAATTTAAAAAACAATTAATACATTGAAAGAGCAATGGTTAAAAACATGACTGAATATTTTGTCGAAATTATCGCGGCGGTATGTGTAAATTTACCACGTGGTAAAAACGGGGATAAATTGTGCAAACATTATTTATAAAATTGGAGTCGCGTTTTAAATTCTCGGTGTTTGTTTCTCCCAATGAGGGACAGAGGACGAGAGAAAGAGAGATGAGCGAGCCTTGCCCCGTATGCAAATCGATCTCTCATACATATAATACATCTATCCGTACATACATACATATTATACAGACGAGGTAATAATGTGCGAAATTCCGTTCAAATATAGCTCACATACATAATTAACCGATATACCGTTTTGTACATAAATATTTTTTTTCATTTATTTATCATTTTTATTATCTCCTATTTTTGTTTTTAAACTCGACTCATCATCGCTGATTGATCGGTCATTCCGAGTGATTACATAAATAAAATTAAATATTATATTTATTTATTTAAATAGTTTAATTGGCGCTATTAAATAAAATAAATAAATGATATTTTTTTGATAGTTAAATTAAATTAAATGACAATGAAGAATGATATAAAAATGACTGTCAATCATAAGCTTCATGAATTTATCAGACAGCGGTCGAGGGATGATCGATCTGGCTTAACGCCGGTCACAGAAATCAGGATGGCAAATTTAGGAGAGGAGAGATCCGAGCTTGTAATATGTTTAGGGGAAGAAGACAAGTTGGAAGTTGGAAGCAAGGATAGAACTATTCCTATGGAGTAGAAGGATATAGAGTCCGTCGTTATCTGTAGAAAGCAGGCAACGTGTTTCCACCCCTCGAGCCCAATATAAGCCAAGTCCTGCGCCCAACGTTCGTGTCCGCGAACTAAATGTCGACTACTACAACTACCACCACGACACGCCATGATGCATCGGCCATATTGCCTCTACTTACTGCCCTCCGTATTCACTATTATACATAGTAATAGCACATCATCGAGAATTATGAGGACTTGTCGTTATCTATGTCGTCCAACAAGACATTTACATTCTACATGATGCAAGAGTGTAAACCGAAAATGGATGAGATGTTAATTCAGTGACAGGAGGTACACAGAAAAAATTTTAATTAATTTAGCAGATATTTGACAATTTTAATAATATTTTAACTATTGTTAAATTGCATTGTACTATCTTAACTATTGACGTTTTTAAAGATATAAACTCATCTAGATGTTACACTCATCAAGAGCTTTCATTTATGTACCCACATGCATTTTTGATATATTTTTCATATATACATATATATAATATATAAAATATATGAAAAATTGATGTAGGTACTCAAATGAAAGATATTGATGAGCGTAACATCAGGATGAGCTTATATCTTTAAAAATTTCAATACTTTACAAAATACAAGGTCGTTTCTTAATTATGTTAAATTGCACTGTACTTTTTGAATTATTGATGTTTTTAAAGATATAAGCTCAACCCGGTGTTACACATATCAAGAGCTTTCATTTGAGTACCTACATGCATTTTGATATATTTTACATATATACATATATATATAATATATATATAAATATATGAAAAATTGATGTGGGTACTTAAATGAAAGGTCTTGATGAGTGTAACATCGGGATGAGCTTATATCTTTAAAAATTTCAATAGTTCACAAGATACAAGGTCATTTCTTAATTTTGTTTATTTTCTTAATAATACAGATTATGACAAAAAAAATTGACATGTAGAAATTTAAAAAAATTAAAAATGCAATTTTTTAAAAATAATTTGTTAAATTGAATTAAAAAGTTGTCAAGTGACTGCTAACTTCAATGTCGCACAGAAAAAAAAAACTTGAATCAAGAGAAAAATTCTAGAACCAAGAAAATAATTTTAAAAAGTTAAATTGTTTTGAATTAAGATAAAAAATTCTTGATTCAAGTTAAAATTTTTTTTCTATGCAGAATTTTCGTCTCGTTGATGGCCGGTAATTTTCAATAATAAAAATTAAGTGAAAAATGAGGAGGTGAATGAGCAAACGGAAGGCTGGAGGTCAGACACCGCCGGTGAGATCGGAGTAGTCACTCTTGGGTTCGGTTATTCTTTTCTCCGTCACCGAGAACTTATATAATGCATGCGTAAGAAGAAAGGACCACCCATGCAGATGAGAAGAAGGTCCTCTTGACTCTCAGCTCGGTGCTCGAGAGGACTCGAGAGGGTTGGGCGCGAACCATCCACTCTATCATGCGAGGAATATACATATATTCATACACATATATTCTTGAGGAAGAGTTTTAGTTTAAAACTTGCAAGATCGGCTTTAAAGCGATGAGGTCATTGAGAATCTTCGAGGAACAATTTGCTTGTTTTTGAATTTATGAATTTGCTTTTTAAGTGTCCAAGTCTTGTTGAGCCAGAAAGCCGAATCCAGATTCCAGGCCAGCCGGTCTCGAGTTTTTGAGTGCGTAATGGCACCCACCGTCAATACCAACTGTAAAATACTAAATAAAACACAAAAAGAGTTGTGTAAACTTTCTTTTAACTCGGAAAGTCTGTACTAATAGAATCCCTTGGCAGGCTTTTGCCCTCGAGACTCGCGCCCTTTTTTTCTTTCAGTTCCTGGAAAAAGCTCTCGATATTTGGACACAATTCAACAACAACTGGTAGAAATACAATAACAAATTTTCCCTTTTTTCTTTTTTCTAAAGAAAAAGATTTTTAAATTACTGAAGATGATCACAAGAGTTTATTTACTGTTGATAAATTTAGTTTTTTATAAACAATTTTTTTTCTAAATATAAGATTATATTCTTCAATTTTTAATAAATATTTTTGAGGAGAAAATTACATTTTTTATCAATTAATTAACAAATATTCATTATAAGCTAGTAAAAAACTTTTTAGCAGTTCTTAAGAACGATTTATTAATTTTTTAAGCTCTTAACAAATATTGATTAGTTGTTAATAAATTTTATTCAATAAACAGTTGATTGTTGTAAAAAAAAATTTATTTAATGATCGAATTTAAAAAAAGTGTTCATCTACAGTTAATCACTCTTATTAATTATTAACTGTAATTTATCTAGTTTTTTCTTGAAGCAACTACATTATATAAAGAGTACTTTAAACTGTTCTTTGCATGAAGTAAAATGCATGAAGTAAAAAATATTATTGAATTTGAAAAAATATCTCTACGACAAACACTCAAAGTGGATAGACCAGTAACAGAGTGTGAAGTAATAGTAAGTGAAGGCATGAGACGCAACTAAATGCAGAAAAAAATACAAGAGTAAGACTGATCAAACGCTGCGTGTGGTCCAGGTCTTGAGGTGTTAATCATGAGTCCCGGCTACCGTACACCTCCTCGGGTCCCTTCAATTAGTATATACATCTGCCCACGTTTCACCTTTTGACTCCTCAGAAGAAGCCTCTTACTACACACTCGTGTCATCAAGTAACTTCGCTGTCCATATGCTCTTGCTCTGTACCATAGACCATTCTTTCATCACTTTCGAATATTATCCTTGACTGCTCGGATGTTCAACTTCATGAATAAATCTGTAGAGCACGCGTCTACGCTCAGAGCTCCATTGTTTCGGGTACCGTTGTTTACGAGAAAAATAAAAATGAAACTCATGACATCTAGCATCAACGCTGACCAGTTTAAACTTTCAAGATCGGTCTTGGCTCTTTATCTTGAGATCCCAGAACCTGTTTTTGAACTTGAGATTGTTTCTTCCTAAATCGGGACCAAAACAGATCCGAGAATTGATGACCTCACTCATCAACAGAAATAGAAGCGCCTTAACTTTAATCCGCGGTCTGGGCACCTGTCGCGTGTCCGGGGTGCAGGGGCAAAAAGTCCGGATACTCTTACTCCGGATAAGGACAGCAGAAAAAGAGAATAAGAGCGATGGTCAGGGTGCCAGGAACACGTGGTTCTATTTGCAAAAACAAAGTTTGCACGGGACAAACACAGCCGTGCACACAGACCAGACAGACATCGACCTAGTGTATAGT